ATTTTCCTGTATTTCAAATAGCTTCCATCATTTTCTTAAACTTCTAATTTAAAGCCTATTCTAAAAAGTATTCTTAAAAAAATAATTCCTTTTGTTTTCTATCATCACTATGCTTGATTCTCCTCTCTCCCTTTTGAAATGAACTTTTTAGCGATCAATAAGAAGCAAGACTAGAGTATTAGGAGCCCTGGAGAGCCTATATATAGGGGAAGGCAGGTCCTTTCTGACCCTCAGCTGCCCCTGTCCTAGCTCCACAGAAAGACCAGCCCACAGATGGTTCTTTAAAGAACTATTCTCCTGCAGGCAGGAGGAATTTTTCTTGTGCACTTAAATCCTCACCAAATAGGAAACTTAGGGTTTTTTTTTTTTTTTTTTAGTACTTCGTGTTTATATAAGAATGTTGATATTGAATTAAAAAAAATGGCCATTTGGAACAACAAATGTGATAAGACAGATAACATCTCTCTGCCTTCTAATGGGGGGGGAGAGAGAATAGAAAATTTTAGAAGGGTGATTACAATTTAGGAGGCATTTGCGCTGGTGTGTGTGTACCAGAAACACGGTAGTCAGGGAAGGTCTCTCTGAGGGGTGTTAACAGTCCAGCTGAGTTTGCAGGATAAGACACAGCTTTAGATTATACAGTGAAAGACCTTCGGCCTATTTGATGAGCAGAAATGTCACCTTCCCTCTAGTCACTTGTTAAATGCAGGGAAGCATGCTCCTTTCCTCTAGAGCACTCCAGTTGGTTTGTATCTATGCATTAATATTATTCATTGGTTAATGTCTGTTACTTCCAATACATCTTAGCAGATATTTATAGATTGCCTACTACGAGTCTGGCACTGGGGATATAACAGCAAAATAAAGTCCCTGCTTTGTGCACTTATGTATGTGTAAACAATTAATGAAAGAAGGACCATGGCAATAGGCATGGCCTATTATTGTCTACCAGTATGACCTCAGGACCAGCACAGGACTTGGAACCAACCTAGAAGTCAAATATTGTTCAATGAATGCTGCTAAGAAATGCAGCATACCAGCTGTATATGTAATAGGATCCTACATAGAACATGGGTATAGAAACACACAAAGTGTATTAAAAAACAGGAGATTCAAAAAATGGTTAATTTTGTGTAAACTTTATACAATAATCATAATATCTCTCTTCCCCGCCCCTCCCTCTATATATATACCAGGGATTGAATCTAGGGATGCTTAACCATTGAGCCATACCTCCCAACCTTTTTTAAGTTTTTTGAGTCAGGACCTCACTAAATTGCTTAGGCCTCCATCACTAAATTACTGAGGCTGGCCTTGAATTAGTGATCCTCTTGGCTCAATCTCTCCAGTGGTGGGGATTATAAGTGTGCCACTGCACCTGGCAAGCATATATTTTGAAAAAAGTATTTATTCCATTCAATGAAAGGCGCAACAAACAGTGGAATGGGCCTTCATCTTTAGTTACTGAGCTGTTGGTGAGGATAATTTCCCACTAGGTTTGGCTAGTGATGTTTATAGACTGCTCCTCTGAACCATGACCCTATAAGGGAAACAATCACCCCATCCCCCCAAAAAATTAGGTTATAATATCTAATGCGATCTGTATTGGTTGGGAACAGGAAGATAACTCCATAGACAAAAACCAAAACATCTGGGGCTGGGGTTGTGTGAGGCACTGTTATGGGGAGACACCTCAGAAAGCACTCTAAGTCCGAATTTTAAATCAAAAGAGAGCTTTATTTACCTGGCCAGGGACTGTCACTCACCACAGAGACTCAAGCTCTGTGGGAGGACAGCAGCTTCCTGGTCCATCCAAAGAGAATAGAAGCACAAAAACCACAACTCAGTGACTTGCTTATCGTCATGTAAGCTAGCCAGTCAGAGAAATTAAAATATTGATAAGTGGAACCTGTGGGCTCTAAGCAGGACTGATATTTTCCAGCCAGCAAGCATGTGATGAACAGAAGCTAAAATAGCATTATCTTTGCAGTTCAGTTGACCACAGTCCTGGGTTCAAGCAGGTGCTAAACAGTCACATAAGTGAATTTGGGCGGGGGTCAGCTGGGTGAGGATCTACTTCAAGGTCATGTAGACCCACAAGGGCTTTCAAACCCAGGATGTAGCTCACCACGACCACTGCTGCATCCTGAGTAGGGTACAATTTGTAGGGTACAAAGTACAGAAATGCTGCAGTCTGTCTGGGCACAAAATAACCGAGCCACCACAAAGCCTTGTAGATTCAAACAGCAACTCTTTATTCCTCGAACTCTCACCGGCCTCTACACGCACGTTCTGGGAAAAATACACTCCCTCCACCGGCTCTGCGTACCAATTCTCTCAGAACCCCGTGAGAACTCAACGGGAACTCAAGGAGCGGGCGCCTGAGGCAGCAGGATACGCCCTATTCCCAGAAGGATCCACCCTAAACCTGGAGCCACCCTAATCCAGCAGGATCCACCCTAAACCCAGAGCCACCCTAATCCAGCAGGATCCACCCTAAACCCCCGGCCATCCTAATCCCTGAGCAGGGTCACCTTTCAACCAAAAATGCCATGCGTCCTACTTGGCTATGGCTCTCAGCATGGAAAGACAATTTTTTTTTTTTTTAATAAGAAAACAGCTTTCATTTCAGTTTCTCAGAAACAGCTCTTATAACAGTTTTAATAGAAGGCAGCAAAATGGAGTCTTAGGGCTGCCTATGCCAGTTCTTGCTTTATAATTGTCTTATCTCACTTATCAAAATCTTATACCTATAATCTGTATTTTTTTTTTACTAATCTATAACCTATTACACTCTTATTGATTGTATTTATCAGTTCACACCACAACAAACTAGTGATAAAACATCATGTAATGCTTCCTCTTCTCAAAAAACTCTTTAAAGAAAAAAAAAAAAAAAAAAAAAAAAAAAAACATTTAAGGATGTACAAAACAAAGTGGACTGACTTTGACTCATAATGAGACTGAGACTGTTGGGTTCAGAGCAGGCTGAACAGATGTTGGCTGCAAGATAGCCCACGCACTCAAACCCCCCTCTATCTGGTCCTTTATCACCTGTTTGCCTCAAGTCTGAACATTCAACCCTGCTTAAGGCTGAACACTTAACCCCCCCTTGGGCCAACAAGGCAGCTTGCAGACCCAGAGGCCCCATTAGATTTGGGCTATAAAAACTCCCTCCTGCCAGGCCCCCCTCTCTCTTGCTCTCTCTCTCTTGCTCTTTATCTTTCTTATGCGTGCTCTCTGTCTCTCTCTTGCTCTTGCTCTCTCCCTGTTCATCTCTTCTCTTTTCTCTCTTTCCTTCTTTCCTTTCTCTTTGTTGCACTGCTGCAATAAAGATCTTTTGGTTGCTCTGAGTGTTGTGGTCACTTTCCTTTCAGAGACCAACAGTGAGACACACAACAGACAAGGCACCATAAACAAACCTAACTGACCAGAGATTTAGATAGGTTTTTTTTTTTTAATATTTATTTTTTAGATGTAGATGGACACAACACAATGACTTTATTTTTATGTGGTGCTGAGGATCAAACCCTGGTCCTGGCGAGCGCTCTACCCCTGAGCAACAATCCCAGCCCCTAGATAGGGTTTTTAACCCCAGATGGGCCAGTGAGCGACTTCTGGATGGACACTGCCCTGGACCGAGAAGTATGTGCTGTGTCCAGCCTTCCCTAATGTCCCCAGACTGTGGATCCACACAAACCAAGTTTTAAGTTTCAAGCTTACCTTTCCCTGGAGAACTAAGTGCTCTCAAATAGGCAGACTGCAGGTTTGGCAGGAGCCGATGAGGAGAGGACCCCGGTCTGAGAAGTTCTCCTCAGAGGACTGCCCCAGGTTGTCTCCAGCCCACTGGGTCTCCTGGGTGTTTCCGAGCATTGTCCCATTTATGGGACAATAAATAAATATCTCTTCCTTTCCCGGCCAAGGCACCAAATGTTATGGAGAGACACCTCAGAAAGCACTCTTAAGTCCGAATTTTAAATTAAAAGAGAGCTTTATTTACCTGGCAGGGACTGTCACCCACCTCAGAGACTCAAGCTCTGTGGGAGGACAGTCCTTGGCCAGGTAAACAAAGCTCTCTTTTAATTTAAAATTCGGACTTAAGAGTGCTTTCTGAGGTGTCTCCCCATAACAGCACTGAGTTCGATCCTCAGCACCACATTAAATAAATAAATAAATAAATATGTATTGTGTCCATCTACAACTAAAAAAGAAAAAGAAATTGAAATTAAAAAAAAAAAAAAAAACCCATCCACTTGTACACCAAGACCAATTCTGTGTGGGGCAACAAAGAAGCTTCACACGGTGCACCCTTCCCACCCCGTCTAAACTCAGACACTGAGAAATTGCTCTCACCCGGCAAAAGCAGGGCAACCTACCCTCCCCAGAGCCAAACAGTGAGCTTACCTTGGCACTGCAGAGCAGGCCACTTTTGCATAGCACACTGAACAATGCCTCGCCAGGTCTCCTGCCAGGTGTCCCACAGCTCAGCTCCTTTAGGCACTGCAGACGCCCTGCAACTCTTACTGCGGTTACAGCGAGACCCAAAAGAGCAGCCCCTTTCTCCAAGGCACTAACCTGTGCAGGGAATACCGGGCAAACTCTAACCACCCCCGGACAGCACGGACCCTAGCCACACCTCCTTGCACCTGAGCATTCTATAAGCCTCACCTGGAGCTCCCATGCGCGCTCCCCATCCAGAATTGGCTCAACCCCGGAAACGCGGCGAGTGTTTGCTAGGGCCACAGCTAGACCCAGGGCGAACCTCCGCCTCTCAGGCACCGCTCCAGCCGCCCGAGCAGGGCTTCACTTCTTGCACAGCAGGGTCGCCACAGTGCCCAGCCCGAGTGCGCGTCCTGGAAGCGCTTAACGCACCACCCCTAGGAAAACCCTGGCCGCGTCCTCTACCCCAACCTCAGTCAACCGCAGGTCCACCCAGACCCGCGGCCCCCAAACCAAGCTCCAGCCTCTTTGTCGAGTGTGCAACCTCTTCAGGCTCTTACCAGAGAGTGTAAACAGCAGGAATGCCAAAGTCGCTAGAAAGATCCCTGGTAGGCACCGCTGTAAAGTAAAGGAACTCTTTCCGCGGCCGGGAAGCGCCGTGCAGGGCGCGGAAGACACCATCACCTTTCAGAAGATGAACAGGAAAACAGTGCCAGCCAAGCAGGGGAGTCCCTTTTGAGCCCGTTTGTCATACGCAACAATCCCCAAATTCACAAAGTGTGCAGGGCCGCCAGAAAAGTGGGCGTGGCTGGGCCAGCGCCCCTGTCGGAAGTGACTCTAGGCGGAGCCACTGCGCCTATCCGGCGACAACAGGGCGGGGTCTCGGAGCGCTTTGCTCCGGGGCCTCCAGGGGACAAGGGGTGCTCCGGCCTGGAGCAATACCCGGGTTATCAGCTGCAGTCAGCTCCTCCAGAGCCTCACGGCGCTCTGGCTGCGTCCTCTGCAGACCACTCTCCAGGCGCTGGCTTGAGGGAAAGGGTTGGCTTACCGCCGCTTTTGTAAATTGTTTACCACCTGACTGTGGAGTGGTGGAAAGGGAACTAACTTCTGGCTTTGTCATCATTTCCGGCCACTCAGGCCTGAAGAACAGCGATCTAAAAATAGAAATCCAGAGCTCGGGCGGCGAGTCACTGTGGGGCCAGCACCCCTTGGGACTAATCCTGGTGAGCCTTAGGCTGCCGCACTGCCTGGGCCCTTACTCTTGTGTCTGGCATTAATCAGGCATTATTAGGAACAATACTTGTCTTCAAGTAACAAGTCTTCAACTAACAAGTCTTCCTTGCTTAAATGCCTGCTGCTAAATTCCTCAGGGCCTTCTCTTCAGTCTCCAAAATCTCACAGGTTTGACCCCCGCACCCTCAATCCCTAAGGTAATTCGTTCTTCCTCCTCTTTCCTTGAGAAAACCCATGGGAAAGTAAAATAGTCAGCATCTCCTGGTTATTAGCATATCGGGACTCCTTAGAGGAGTCCCTTAGGACCCTTGTCCTAGAACAACTAAATTATTGAACCCAGGGGCGCTTAACCACTGAGCCACATCCCCAGACTCCCCACCGGACCTTTCTTGTTTTGTTTTGTTTTAACTTAGAGACAGGGTCTCACTGAATTGCTTAGGGCCTTGCTAAATTCCTGAGGCTGGTTTTAAACTTGTCATCCTCCTGTCTCAGCCTTCGGAGCTGCTGGGATTACAGGAGTGTGCCGCCACGTCTGCCAGCATAACTAAAAGTTTTATGGGAGACAAAATATACATGCATGAAAAATGAAAGAACAGGATAAGTGTAAAATTCCTGGAAGGAATGAGTGTGATAGGATTTGGGATGGGTAGGAATTACTTAGGATAAGAAGATAAAGGGCAAAAATTTTTTGTTGAAATAATCTCTAGCACAGTGCTGGAAAATTAAGAACGAGCAAGATTGATCTGAAGGGTTCTGAGAAAACCTGGATGAAAGGTAAAAGAAAAACTAACAGAACTGGCATTAAAAGAACAAACGAAATTTTCTTCCTCTCAAACTGACAGTTTGAATGAACACATAGGGAGATGAACACTTAACACTTCAATTTGTTAAGTCTTAAAGGTGACATGACTTTCTCACTCAGAATTTATCCCAAAGAAATCATCAGAGCTGTGAACAACGGTTTATAATTATGGAAAAGTATAAACTCATACATATCCAGCAAAAAAAGTATTAAAGAATTTTTAGTAGGTGCCTTTATGTGATGAAATTCTAGGTGGCAAACATTGTGAAAGAATATCAATGTGAGAAACTGATGTATTGGTTAATACAAAAGCAGAATATGCCTTTCATAAAAAACAAAAATGACATAATGATACACATAAGAAGAGACAAGGCAGAAATACACCAAAGGTAACAACAGGTGAAAGGATCATAGGCATTTAATTTTCTTTGTTTAACTTTCTAATTTTTCTATATTGAGCCTATATTACACTTGGAATAAGGTAAAAATAAATTAGCCTTTAAAAAAATTTATTTGAGACAGGGTCCCTCTGTTTGTTACTAAGGCTGACTAAAGAAAAAAAAAAAAATCCAACCTATATCCTATGTGTCAAGATGTGTCAAGGACAGTTTTATGCATAGAATGGTGGGGGTAAAACCTGTATGGCACAGGTTTGAGGTGACAACCAGTGAAGAAAAAAAAAGCTCACGGTACAAACCTCAAATGGTCCTCTGGAATAACAAGAGCTGAGGTATATTTAACACAGTTCTATATCTGAGATGTCTTGAGAACTTTCTGGATTCACCAAGCCATGGAATTTTCTTTTCTTGCCAGAATAACAAAACTTTTAAAATCACACAAGACACTAAGCCTGGAGGTGTTATATAAAATAAATGCCTGAATATTTTGGAATATAAAATCCAGACATTCCTTGGTGGCAATTAAAGGAGGTATAATTAAGGAGACAGTGAATAGGAAACTCAATGAGGCAGGACTTGTTACTTCTGTTAATATTTACAGTTGTGAGCTATATGACAGTAATGTTCTGTTGCTCAATGTCAGAACCTGTTTGTGAAAACAATATTTATTATTGTCTGCAACAATAAATATTAAAAATTACCTGTTTATGTCCAGGCTTGGAAGTAAGATTTCTTTTTTTATGAACAAATTAAAAATATAGGAGAAACAATTTAGCTAGTGTTTGTTATTCTAGTTTCAGGTGAAATATTCAAGGATTACAGTTTTATTGAAACTTTGTTTCAGTCAGTAAAAGTTCTATCCCTGGGGTTCTTCAGGCCTTTCTTAATATACTTGAAGACTTCTACACCAATTTTTTAAAAAGCTTATTTTGATTTGACCCAACTGAGCTTCCATTTGAAAAGTTTGGGGACTTGTTTCCTATCTTTCCAGACAATTTCCAAGAGTCAGGGATAAAGTTTTCTTGTAACATCTCCAGTGCCAAGATTCATAGTAGGTGCTCAATGACTACTTGGTAAATACTGTAGGAAATAAAGGCATCTTGCTGTCAAATGCATTTAATACATCTTTGCCAGTTTTCCACTAGAATTAGTTGACCAAATGCTGGGGAAGTCCTGAGAGATTTTGATTTTTAATATTTTAGACACTAGAAAATAAAGTGGGATTTGTCTCTAAATGGAGTGAGGTAATAAACTGCACACAAAATAAACTTTCCTATATCAGGCATTGCAAGTTTACCTGTAAAGTGGAGTTACTATCCATGCCTTAGCCTTGCCTTGGGGTTGCTTCAGTAACTGAGTTCAAAAGGAGAGGGAACTCCTGAGGCTCTGACAGGGATAGATGTCAAGAATCAAAGCTTCCAATTAGGAAGTAGGAGTCCTCCAGCTCCCCCTAAAGATTTTGTCAAACTGTCAAAGACACAAGAAAAGGAGAGAATGGAAGATGTAGGGGTCGGCAGAGGAATAGACAAGGTTAAGGATTATGTACAGCTATCTTTCAGAAAGGTGCACAGACAGAGTGATGGTAGGGGGATGTCATTAAATGATGGCCAACATCTTCTTTAAAATTTGATATGAGACGATTCTTTTCCTCTTAAATTAATATATCTACACTATGCTTTTTGGAAGTTGGGGTAAAGTGTCATCAGGCCTCTATTTGCACCGGGTAGGCACCTGCCAGTCGGCTGACCTTCATATGCAATTGTGTCTGATTTTCTTCTCTCTTACCTGAAAGAGTGTGAGTGTGGTAGGCCATACCCTCATGGGAATTCTGTAAGCAATCAAGTACAGAAAGAAAGACATTTCTCAGAAGGAACACACATTCATTTCAGTCTACCTTAACTTTTGCAGGCCTTAGAAAAGACAAGTATACTACAAATTATACTCCATAAGTAGATTTGCAAAGATAAATCTTTTATTCTTTTCTCATTTTTTTTTTTTTATTTTTTATTGTTGGCTGTTCAAAACATTACATAGTTCTTGATATATCATATTTCACAATTTGATTCAAGTGGGTTATGAGCTCCCATTTTTACCCCATATACAGATTGCAGAATCACATCAGTTACACATCCATTGATTTACATATTGCCATACTAGTGTCTGTTGTATTCTGCTGTCTTTCCTATCCTCTACTATCCCCCCTCCCCTCCCCATCTTTTCTCATTTTAATGGTGAAAATTTTATTTAAATGTCATAGATTTAAATGACATTACATCTCATATTTATTCTATTTTTTTTAAGTAAACAAAACAAAGAATGTCAGACATTAATAGCTTTGTAGAATAATTGGCCCAGCCGCTGTTTTAGATGAAAAATGTAAGGCCAGAGGTTAACAGAATTACTTAACAATACAAGTTAGGCAATGAGGCATTTTTCGTAGTATATGTAGTATTCCCCGTGACAATTGATGAAATAGAAAAAAAAAAAAAAACAACTCATGGCTTTCTTGCAATTAAAAAGTCAGAGTCATCAAATATTTATTAATCCCATGGCTCACTGGTCCACTCCACTTTAGGAAAAACAAACAAACAAACAACAACAACAAAAAAAAAAAACAGAATTGTTTTCTTGTGATGGAAAATAGTAATTCTAAGAAAGGCTAATTCTCATTTAGTTTCTAGTCTTCCTTTGAAATCTTCTTCTTCAAATTCTAAGAAATAGAGAACTAAAGAGCCAACTGAGCAAACACCCACCATTGAGTATCATTTCGAAAATTTGCAGACTAGTTACCCTTGTTTCCTTGGTGACCTGGCCATATGTTATTTGCCCATCTTTTAGTGGGGAGAGTTGGTAGCCATTTTTAATTTTTAAGGACTTCCTAAATAATAAGGCAATTACCCTTTGTGTATGGTATAAGTTGTATGTAGTCAATATACATAGTCATATATATATATATATATATATATATATATATATATATATATACACACACACACACATATATATATATACACATACACATATATATATATATATATCTATGTCAGTGGACTTCGCTTATGCTGGGGTTTTTTTCTATCTTGCAATATTTTAAGTTGAAATTCAAATTGGTGTCTCCCTTAATCCCTATATTGGTGTCAAAGTAAATGTGGTAAAATAGAAATTTAAAGGAGTGATTAAAACACAGAATTACCCAGAAATTAGTGAAAGCTAGATTCAAAGATATTACTCAATATTCACAAATATTCTGATAGTTTCTAGAGATCATTATCATGGCAAATAATATCATAACAAGTTTCTGATCTATAAAGATGTGGAATGGCTGAAAGTATAGGGATACTGATTTTAAGATGTTAATGCATGATTATTTTTATAAAAAAATTTATTTTTTAGTTGTAGTTGGACACATTATCTTTATTTTATTTATTTATTTCTATGTGGTGCTGAGGATGGAACCCAGGGCCTTGCATGTGCTAGGCAAGTGCTCTACCGCTGAGCCACAACCCCAGCCCTCAATGCATGATTATCGATTTGATAAAGTTCTTTTCAAAGCAATTGACACACAAAAACTGCACATTTCTGAGGTACCATGTGATATTTGGATACATGTACATACTGTATAATATTCAAATCAAAGTAAACATATATGTTTTCTTAAACGTTTATCATTTCTTTGTAGTGAAAACATTCAAAATCTTCTAGCTTTTTTTTTAATATTTATTTTTTTAGTTGGACACAATACCTTTATTTATTTATTTCTATGTGGTGCTGAGAATCGAACCCAGGGCCTTGCACGTGCTAGGCAAGTGCTCTACCACTGAGCCACAAGGCAGCCCTCTTCTAGCTTTTTAGATCTGTAGTCACCCTGCTGTGAAATAGAAAACCAGAGTTTACTCTTCCCGAGTGTAACTTAGTACCCGTTCACTAATAAATTCTTAAAAGTTGTGCTTTTTAAAGTTAACCTAGGGTATACTAGTAAACTAGTTACATTTATAATAATTATTATTTAATTTAAAATTTTTCTTTTATTCAGAACATGTTACAAAGTGGGTTTTTGAGACAGAACTTAGAAAATATCTGGAGTTCCATTTTTTTTTATCTAGATAATTCTTTTGAGCAGTCTTGACGGTTCTCCACCATAATCATTTAGCACCTTTCCAGTGAAGAAAAAATTGCTTTTCTTCCCTAGAGGAGATGAAAATTGATATATCATGTATTTTACTCCAATTTATTTAAAGAAGTAGGTTCTGCTCTATAAAATACAGAGGGAATATGTTTATTCCCTCTGTAGTGGTCGCTATGTAGGGCTCTATTTAATAAATCAAAATATATGTGTTTGTATAAAGAAACATATATAGAAAATGGTTGGCAGATAATGTGATGTGTGACATTAATATTAACATGTCTCATTAATTTTCATATCTTTCTGTATTTTCCAAATTCTCTATAATGAGCTCATTCCATATCATGAACATTTTAAAATAAGAAAGGAAAATGACAGACTTTTAAGCCAGAACTCCTAGAAAGCAGCTTCTTCCTTTAAATGATTGAAACAGTTTTTCATATCTACAGTCTTGTCCCCTGACTAGATGCTGTGTGCTTTCAGCACAGGAAAGAGGGTGAGGGGTGAGAGGAATGCAGACTAAGAGGTGGAGTTTTGCTGGACCCTGGGACAGCTTAGGCGTCTTCAGGTACACACATTTGCTTCTCTGTGAAGTCACTTCAGAGTTCATGAACCTCTGATCTTATTCTCTTGAAGTCGATTGGCTCCTTTCCTGCCAACAGGTAATTGGAGATTTCTCCAGCTTTATAATACCTTGTCAAGGAGGGACACTGAAATAGAGGATATTTTTGTTTAGATGACAGCAACAGAGGAAAACTGAACCACCAAGAACTTATATGCTGATAATCAGAATGCTGGCATCTCATATAAATTTCAAGCTCTTAGAAGCGTTTATTCCCTCTGTAGTGGTTGCTATGTAGGGCTCTAGAAAGTATGGTGTAACTGGAGACTTGAGTAGATAAGAGAGAGATTAATGAGTAACTTGACCTTCCCTTTTTCTTTTCTCAAACAAAATGAGTTCTCAGAATTAAACAAATAAATAAAAAGAACCTGTTCCAGAAAAGCAGAACTATGGGTGGTGGTGGTGGGGGCAGTGAATAGTGGCTGGTAGTCTTGGAGGAGGGTCAGCTTCAGCAAGCAGGTCCTCCTCCTCTTATTACAGTCAAGAATGCACTGAGGTAGGACATGCAGAGCAAGATACCCAAATGCTTCCCTGTTCATGTTGAAGCCTCTTTTCTCTGGCCACCAAAGGACAGACTCCCTAGTGAGGGCCACTGGGTCACCTGACCTCAGTGATGACTGCCACCCTATTCCTCATAGTTATTCTTTGTCTCACAAAGCTTCCCAGCATCACCTGCTACCTATGTCTTCTTCAAACATTCTCATGTCCTTCAACACACAGCTAGGTCTTTGGTGTCTGCCTCTTTATCTATGTCATTCACTCTGCCCCAGCACCTGGCCTGGGTGCAAGGTTTCATGCTTGCTAGACTCTGTCTAACTCGGTCCTTATCTATATCATGTGACTACAGATGATTGAATTAGCGGGGTGGGGGCAGAGTAGGGGATTGAACTCAGGATCACTTGGCTACGAAGTCACATCCCCAGCCCTATTTGGTATTTTATTTAGAGACAGGGTCTCACTGAGTCGCTTAGCATCTTGCTTTTGCTGAGGCTGACTTTGAATTCGAGATCCTCCTGTCTCAGCCTCCCAAGCCACTGGGATTATAGATGATTAATTTGCTCCTGTGGAACACTCTGGTCAGAATTCTAGTCTTAAAGGGAGGTCAGAAGAAAGAGACAAAGGAGTAAAAGGTGGGGAAGAGGGGCAAAGTGCCAAGGAGTGATATGGCCAAATTATATTGTTATATTGTGGATGTATGAATATGGAACAATTAATCCCATCAGTATGTACAAACAAGGCATCAATTTAAAAAAATGTGGGGAAATTTGAATAAACCATGAAGAAGTGAGTAATATTTGAGGAGATAAATATGTTTAAGCCTGATTTAAACATTACATAATGTACGTATATATCAAACATTACATGATACTTCATTGCCATGTATAATTTACTTTCTGCATTAGTTAAAAAATGAAAAGAAAAAGGAAAAATTGAAAAATTTTCAATCTTAAAAAAGGATACTTGATACAAAATTATTAAGGACTCCTACCTTTCTATTAAAAGACGATCAACAGTCAGTGTATCCAATGGAGGTGTACTTTGATGTAAAAATGGTGTGCAAAGAGTTGAGGAAAAAGGAAATTATGATAAACTAATTTTCAAGTATTTACTCACCACTTTTCATTTAATTAACTGTATACTCAGAGGTTTTGGGAAATTAAAAAGAAATGGTCTCTCTACTCACAAGAAGTTAATGATTTACTGTGGAAAAATATAAGCACAACATATGGTACATTATACAGCTGATAAATGAAAAATAAATGAGCAATCAAATGAATTATAGCAGAGTTAATAAGCAAAAAGTACTTGAATATCAAATACTATGGGATGTATTTATGTACAGTTTTAAGGATAGGAGAAAAATGGTTGTCATTGGTGGAGAAAAAAAATCAGGATTTCCTATTGTACAATCAGTACAATCTCAAGATATCCACCCTGCAAATGTAAAATAATATGCAAAGGAACTTAAAAATACTATCTACTACTGAGTGGAATTTATTGCAGGTACTTTATATATTTTTTTCTAACTTTAAGAGTTTCTTGGGGGGCTGGGGATGTGGCTCAAGCGGTAGCGAGCTTGCCTGGCATGTGTGCGGCCTGGGTTCGATATTCAGCACCACATACAAACAAAGATGTTGTGTCCACCGAAAACTAAAAAATAAATATTAAAAAATACATTCTCTCTCTCTCTTTCAAAAAAAAAAAAGAGTTTCTTAGGTGAATGAATTCTGAGCTGAGTTAATGGAACTTAGTTGGAAAATGTTGCAGACAGAAAATGGAAGGAATAAATCTAAATCAAATGATATTTTAAGCAATGTTGTAGAATATATTTTTAAAAACTCTGTAAACATGATCATGGTTCTCATGGTCTGCTGTTTTGTCTGTTTATACTTAGTGACAGCTTATCTGGCCTAAAATCCATTTTGTATAACTTTTCCGTCCTAGCACCCTGATATTAAAGGAAAAATGAAAGCTTCACCTGAGAACCTTGGAGGCATAGCTTAAAGCATCCCTGACAGCACAATATTTTGCCATATTTTATCTCAAAATCTCTCTTTATTTGCCTTTTTCTCCCTTATGTGCTTATTTATGTTAATATAGAAATAATGCTATTTTTTCTTGGAGCTACTGGGATAACATTAGGAATCCTTGGACAGCATGCCATTTTCATCTCATGACTTCTACGTTTTTTTGGTATAACTAACCATGAATTCCAAAGCATTTGTGAACACCCATTTGAGAAAGATCAGAATAACTGATCACTAAAGTTTTAAACAGTAAACTTCTAATTCTGAATTTTTAAAATGCATATTTCATTTGCTTTCATAAATAGTAAAGAAAAGCAAGTATAAGATATAGGGCTGGGGGGGTTGTAGCTCAGTGGTAGAGTGCTCGCCTGGCATGCATGAGGCACTGGGTTTGATCCTCAGCACCACATAAAAATGAAATGAAGTTATTGTGTCCACCTAAAACTAAAAAAAAAATTTTAAAAAGTATAAGATATAAGCAAAGTGACTAGAAAGCCAGATAATAAAAAGAGGACATGGCAAATTTATTTCTATTATAGAAGAAAAGACAAAGTTTATTTATTTTCTAAGCTTTTTGTTTAGAAAAATTTGAATTGTTTACACATATGTCTTGACTATATGGTTGACTATAAAATGCCTTTACTAACCCTTACTTCTTTCTGGGGTCTCTTCCATTGCCCTCTGTTTAATTTAGAATTTCTGACATATGTGTGTATATAAAATGCCAAGTTCGTTTAATGCACATTGATGTGAAGAAGAGGTAGGACATAAAGAAAAAAATTTACTAATCAATTTGATGCTTTTACTTCTGCTTTCTACAGGGGTACCTAAGGCTTATGACACTATTATTTCTGAATGCACCCTGAGGCCCTATATATAGGAAATATTAGGATTACTAGAATAGCCAGAGCGAGCCAGGACCAAATGAATTGCTCTGTATGATACAGAAAGATGGAGCATTAAATTTGCAAGAGGCCCAAGAGTTGGAATAAAATACCCCAGGGATGCAGTAAAGATCTGAGGAAAATGGAGAAGAATCTAATGAGAGAGAGGCCTGGGGAAAGGGGGAAATCCAAGACTGAAAGTGGAGGAATAGCCAGTGAGAAATTCCTCCAAGTCTGATACAGTTCAGGTGTGGGCAAACTCTTCCACAGAAGGACCAATTAGTAAATTTTTTTGCTTTGTGGGCCACATGGTCTCTGTTGCAGCTGTTGGACCTCGCTGTTGAGATGGGTAAGCAGTCACAGTTAACAGTTAAATGAATGGGTATGGCCGTGCCAATAAAACTTTATTTACATACACAACTAGATTTGGCCCACGGATTGTCATTTTCAGATCCTTGTTCTAGTAGCTAGTTTTTGCTTTTTCTTTTCTTTTCTTTATTTTTTTTTGCTTAGCTGTTCATTACATCATAGGACAGATTCAGTTGTGGCATCATTTCCCCTTTCATACCAAACTTTGGGCCAACATTTATCACACAACATTTTGTGGTAAGGCTGCATTAAGGAGGTGGAATGAAGGGTTAGGGATGGCAATTAGCCCCAGTGGAGGACAGAAATAAGAGAGTCTCAAGGAGGCCAAAGGAGGCCAAGAATTCAGTGAAAGCCAGAAACCAGGGAAAAGGCAAGGTGAGTCTCCAGAGTATGCTTAAGAGACCCTGCACATGGAGGAGACTGGAGGACTAGGAGGAGCACACAGGCTGCAAATGCTTAGATTCTACCAGGAAAAGAAATAAAACAGACTACTTCTCAAAGGTTCACAGCACAAATGCACAAAAATCTGGGAATGCTTTGAAAAAAACAGTGCCTGGGCATAGCACCCACAGAATCATCACACAAAATCGCTGGGAATGGCAATAATCCAGGAACAAAATAAATAAATAAAAGCATTTCCAGCTCATGAAGTAGTTTCTGCCTTCTTTAGTATTGATGACCTGCTTAGTGTCATAACCTATTCAAATGCTGTCTCCATTTTTTATATTTGAGTTGTTGCCAATGTTTTGAGCTCAGTATGTAGATAGGTACCTGCTGTTTTCCTGACTTGTTAGCGGAGTCTGAGGATGAACACAGCTGCCTTCTTGAGGATGTAAACTGATATTCACTTCTTCACACTTTTCATCTGGATTACTGCTAATTGGCAGAGGAAGAAAAAATTAGGAAAACTGTCTTAATCATATGTTTCAGTTTTAAAGGAAATCAATAACTTTCATTTTGAGATTTAAGGGGTAAATTGCCTCAAGTTCCTGATATCTTTACAAGATGCTTAAAAGGAAAAATACAACCAAATGAATTTTTTAATACTAAGTAAAAACTCCAATTAGGATATCATAGTAAAATCATCCTATATAATGCCCGAAGATTCAAAACTGTTAATAACTAGGTGTCTGTGTCTTAACACAATACATTTCAATATTTCTAAAATAATTTTGATTAGGAAATAAAGTTAACCACAAGATGTGGGCCGACTTTGCCCTAAAAATGACGTCTTTTTTCCTTTTTCTTCCCTTTTCTCTTATACTGAAGAACATGTTCTATTTTATGCACAGGTACTACCCACAGTTAGGAGAGCAGGGCTCAATATGCCAGAGGAGCTGGAACAAAGTCAATAAAATGTAGAGGAGGGAGTGTATATTGAAAGAGTAAAAGGAAATATTGCAGTTTTTTACTTGTAGGTCCTGTCATCGACACTGCTTGAACCTCAGTGACCTAACAGTAAAGTATTCTGTACCACAATTCTGGGTACTGAATTTTAGTGATGCAGAATCAAATTCAGAAATGTGCAACTAACATCAAAGGAATAGCAAAAAATGAATCAAATCATGTAGACAAAAGCCCTAATTCCTGGCAAACTTCCTACTTGCAGAACTTTAATCAAGCCCCTGAATGTCTTTGCACCTCAAAGTTTTCTCTGCTTTGAGATAGCAATATTGTTTGGCCTTGGTGCTGCACAGAGTTGCTTGAGAAGATAATAAATGGTAATGTGTTTTGTAAAAAAAATACATGTTTCCTTGGAAGATAATAAATGGTAATGGGTTTTGTAAAATTCATGTAAATTTTTACTGTTTTTAGTATGAATTGGGCTACTATACAAGTATAGATAAAAAGTCATTAAATAATAATTATTTTCTGTGAATAGAGGTAGTCCCTGTCCCCAAGGGTAGTCTGGAGAGGGAGGATGGTGAGGAGTATGGTGATCTAGGAGACAAGAGAAAATGTTAATAGAGCACAGCCAGCCCAAGATACAGATGAGGAGCCAAATGCAGAGTAATTAATTAGATATTCTGAATCTGAGAAAGCTGGGGATTAAGAAGGCTTGCAAATCATCAATAATGTGATACAAGTTAATCCCTTCTTTAATTCTTCCTTAAATTTATAAAAAATTAATGCAAATTATAGGGGTGCTTAATAAGAAATTTAGAAAAATGCACTCTGTGAATGTTACTATCAGGCCACTTCCCTTTTTCTTTTTGTAAGAATAAAGGACAAAGAATACTTATAGGTCAAGCTGCAAAATATACCTTTACTAAGGAAGAATACGAGTTTAACTTAAATCTAATTCTATACTGATTATTTCATTATGAAGTTGAGTTCCTGACTAGGTTGTTTGAAAAATGGTTTTACTGTGACAATCTACTTTAAAAAAAAAAACGCCTTATTGGCATCTCTGTGAAATATCAAACTTCAATTTCTATAAAGGTTGTTGTAGAAGACTGCATTTGTTAAGAACGTTTGCTATAGAAGACTACTCACTTGGAGTTTTAAACTCTGCTTTTCTTCAGTATAGAATTTTTGTTCATCAACCTTACAACACTGGTCTTATTGGCAGATTTCATTAATATTGTTTTAATTAAAATAGCCAGCATAAAAGCTGTGTGTTTACTTCCCAGTCAAAAATGTTTTGCTCTTTAGATCATAATCTTTGTGAAGTTTTCTTCAAGTTGAAAAACTCAGTGGTCACAAATATGGACATAATGAATCCTGCTATAATGTATAATTATAAAATACACCAATAAAGAAAGTCACTGGTTTTTACAAAAGATTTCCTTCCCTCCCTCCCTCCCTCCCTTCCTCCCTTCCTTCTTTCCTTCCTTCCTTCTTTCTCTCTTTCTTTCTTAATGCAAAATCTCAATGCTTCCATGCAGGCATCCTGGGATATGTGTGCCAGAGAAAAACACAATCTAACTCTTAGTTAAAAGATAGAAATAGAATCTAAGTCTAGCTGTCAGTGTCTGCAATGTCCCAGCAAAACTAGGACATCAATGGTCTCATTAATACCTTTTTAAAAACCTCCTTATTTTCTCTTTCACAGTTCTTTCTTAAAATGCTGTTTTTTAAATCTGATACTGAAGAATTTATCCTAGGCATGCTCTACCACTGAGCTACATTCCAAGCTCTTTGTTGTTGTTGTTATTGTTTATTTTGAGACAGGGTCTTATTAAGTGCCCGGGCTGGCCTTGAACTTGGGATCTTCCTGCCTCAGCCTCCCAAGTCACTAGATTACAGGTGTGTGCCACTGCACCCAAAATACTGTATTATTGATTTTTAAAATATTCTTAGTAACATATGTATTTCCTATAGCATAAATACTTTTCTATTGTATGTGTCAAGGACCTTCTTTATGTGAATTATCACATCTGTCTATGTAGTAGTGCTTTTGTTGTTTGGGTTTTTATTTTTGTTTATTTATTTATTTATTTATTTTTAAATTTTCCTTTGACGTCTGAGAGGAGCAAAATACAGTTTACATTTTCTGGGAGAATATAGCTGTACTTACCCTTTCTTGCACTTAAAAATTATCCAACTGGGAACAATGATGGATAAAATAAAGAAGATCATACCAAAGCAAATGCCTAGACAGTAAAAAATAAATAAATAAATAAATGGGAAATATAATTTTATTTTTTTAAGAGGCTTAATATTCTGTCTTAATATCTAGTCCCCCTAGAGATTGCCAATGACTTTTTTTTTTTTTTTTTTAGATAAAACAATAAGTTCTCCCTTACCCTGGGTTTGAGTTAGAGCATTGGTTTTACTATACATAGCAAAGAGTGAGTAGAACAGTTTGGTAAACTTTACTCCAACAGCTGCCCTTAAGTAGGCAGGACACAGCAAGCACTGCCACCTTGTCTCTCATGTAAGACACAGGACACAGGCTACTCTACAAAATAGAAATTCCCCTGGACACAAACTGTATTACAGAACTGTTCCTACGTAAGCAGAGCACAGAAATAAACTCAACAAACTGGTCTTGTGGCTTTTAATTTGTGTAAACGACATGATTACCATCTGGAAGTCTATTCCCCAGTTATAGAGTAAAGAGGAAGTTGCCCTCTCCAGCCACACATTAAAATAAAGACATTTTAATGCCAAAGAACCCCCTGTAACAAAAACTTTTTAAAATTGTCTTTCATTTTTTGGCTTTCTTTTTTCCATATTTTTATTGGTTCATCTTATATAATAGTAGGATGCATTGTTACAAATTTGTATATATGCACAGGATGTAACAGTATAATTTGGTCAATATTCTTCCCTAGTATTTCCCCTTCTCCTCCTCTCCTCCCTTCCCTGGTCCCTTTCTTCTACTCTACTGGTTGTTCTTCCTTCCATTTTCATGAGATCCACCTCTGTTCCTGCTTTTCTTTTCCTTTTTCCTATCTTCCACATCTAAGAGAAAACTTATGACCCTTGGTGTTCTGAGTTTGGTTTATTTCACTTAACATAATGCTTTCAAGTTCCATCCAGAAAGGAGGATACTCTATATAAGAATGCCAGTTTCAACACACCCTGACCTAAATGCATCATTATTTTCATTTTAATTTGAATTCATAATACAAGACACTTTATCTTTTTGCATTTCATTCTGAGGGAGATGTAGAAAGGCTTAGGCAGCCTGGGCAAGACGGTGAGTGAGGAGGTCAGGAGCAGAACAGAGGAGCATGGAGAGGTTCTTCTGATGAGGTCAACTTCCTGCTTGACCAAAAGGCTTGTGAACACAAGCAAGGCACCAATCAGACAAACATTTGTGTACTCATGCTCCTAAGTGGGGATCCAATAGAAAAACTAAAACAGATGCATGGACAGAGGGGGCTCCAATCAATAACAGTGAGGAGAGAGTGGACAGGGGAGGAAAGGAGGAAATTCCAGAGGTCTTAAAAAAAAAAACAGGCCAAAACTTCCCCCACTGGATTCCTAGTTCTGGGGCCCCTTCTCTTTGAAGAAGTCTATCTTTGTATCTCTATTGCTTTTGCAATAAACCTACTTCTTGCTATCTCTGTGTTCTGATCTTCAATTCATTGCTGCACCAAGACAATGAATCCGGCACCCCTAGACGCTAACAATTCACTGGAAATAGATACTTACTGTTGAAGGTGCTAGAATTTCTCAGCAAACCCTTCACAAAACTTACCAACTATGAGAGCATCATGTGAGCCTAAAAAAAAAGACAAAAGCCACAAAAACATCAGCCTGGCACCTGGTGTGACCCAACAGGATCTTCCAGCCAGTACCATTCCTCCTGATTTTTCCATTGAATTCTTTTCTAATATAAACAAAAACTTTCTTTGTTTTCACTCACATTATTTCCTCCCATAATTCACTCATATAATCTTGTACACCCAGGGAAGATTTTTCTCTTTCTGAAGTAATATTTTGCATCATAAAAGTAATAAAGTTTTAGCAGAAAGTTTGTAAAACACAACAAAAAAATCACTCATAATTCTAATACTCAAATATGGTTTAGTATATTCTCATCTGGCACTTTTTCCCATATCTCTAAGTTTTTACATAATTATATAATAGAAAAGCAAATTGCAACAGAGGCAAACTAATAAAATCTATTCTAGTGGACGTGTCACTGTACATTCAATTATTTCCATAGTATATTTAAGTTGTTTCTAGTATTTGTCATGAAACTGTGAATAAAATGCGTAAAAAATTTTTGAATCTTACCTTATTTCATCAGACTGGATTCCTAGGAAGGCTAACTGGCATGAACATTTTTATCATTCTAATCATACATTGCATAACTGTTTTTCATAACAGTCCTTGACAGTTTACAATGGTACTTTCAACATACAACAATATCAGTTTCATCACATCTTGATTTCTACTGGGAGTTTCTCTAAAACCTGTTTGTTATTGTTAATTTCATGGGAAAAAGAAGAGTCATCTTCTTCTTTGCTTTTGCATTTTTTAAGTTCTAGTGAGGTTAAACCATTTTTAAATACTTATGTGCCTAGGTAAAAAGATATTTACACCCTTTCTCCATGTCCTTCATTCTAAGGTAGTTTTTGCATTTCCCTGTTCCTCTTTCAGGGTTTGTATGGTGAACTGCAGAAGTTCCATTTACTTAGAAATAGCTTGAGGACTTTGGTAAACTCAGAAGACCCAAAAGTGAGGAGCGAAACAGGGAACAGATACGCCCACTTAAGCAGTAGCTTTTGAAAGTGAGTCTTGGTGGCAAAGAAACAAGATAAGGTTCTAAGAAAGTAGTTACTTTAAGGAAGAGGACCTTGAGGGACAGTTAGTAAAGTGGATTTTAGGATATTTTTGTAGGTGTCACATCGGGTAATACATCTGTATGCCTCTCTGAGAGATTCCAGTGAGAACTTTTCTTAGTTTTCACATCTTTACTGGAGTTGAAATTACTTGTCTTGCATGCAACTGTGCTTACATTAGTCTTGAGAACATAGTTAATTATAGGTTATAGGTATTAATTCTGGCCTTAAGGGGGAACTCAAGATTACCCTCCACTCAGAGGTAGATGAGGCTACAAGTCAGGCCTCCAAAATAACTGAGCTATTGAAATGGGAATGTGGTAGGCCTGGGAATTCCAGGAAATTCATTTTCTAATGTAGTACTCAGAGTTTACTTTTCTAATTTGGGCTGCTCTCAAAACTCCCTGTGATATTTGTTCCAAGCCTGGACCAACTCTGTGATTTACTCTCCAGCTTCCTTTTTAGGAAGGCCTAGGACTGGTATCTTGAGCAATCTGTCCTAAGCCTTGGAACAAAAAAAAAAAAGCTTTTTGGTTTTATTTTATTCTTTTAAAAATATTTCTTGTTTTCCATAATCTTGTCTTTGTTTGCCCTTGTATCACTATAAAACCCCAATATTTCACAGTCCAAGATTAGTTAGGGTAGAAAGAAAAAGAAAGCCAAGAGGCCTATTTTTAGTCTAGTTCTACAGCAAAGGACAAAGGAGTTCACATGTGGTCCAGCCCAATTCATGAGGGGTCTGAGTTCTAAGAACCAGCTGGTTAACAGTTAACTTGGCTTGTTCTTAGTCATTCTACATATTTCCATCTATCTGAATAAAGAACTGCCTTTTATCTGGTATTTGTGACCTTGGCCTAATAACTTTCCCTTTCACTATGATTAATACTTAGAACTTTCTCTCGCTTGTCGAACTACAAATATGTAAGATCATTGTCTGCTTATTTATTGTTAAAGCACAGAGCCTCTTCAGATAGGTAAATTGCCTGGTTGGACCTAGGTTATCCTATTTTGCAGTCTTGGGCAAGGGACTTAAATCTTTTGTGTCTTAGTTTTTATGTCTATAAAATGGGGATAATAAGAATACTACCCTCCTCATAGATTTTTATGTGGATTAAATTAGAATCAATCTACTTGTCTATCTGTCTATCTATTTATCTCCACCTAATCTTTGAACGTGGTACTAATGCTCAATAGGTTAACTTTTACAACTATTACTATTACCACAACCACCGCGACTGCTCCACCTGTAATAGGACTATTAACCCTTCATCGTATTTTCTATGTATTCCCCATCTAACGTCTTCTTACTTACTTTTTAAAGTATATAAGTTTTAAGTCAAATTGGTCAACAGGTAAAAAAAAAAGTTAACATCTTATATAATTATTGAAAATTACATCTGAGTTCCAAAAGTTGGTCTCTGTCTGGGTTTTGTTGTTTGGTGGTGATGGGGATCAAACCTTGTGCCTTGTACATGCTAAGCACATGCTCTACTATGGAACTACATCCCCAACACTAGTTGTTTCATAAATACTGTGTGTGTGTGTGTGTGTGTTTTAGATTTTCTATGGTTTGACTTTTAAAACTTTTAACTTTTTATTATACCTTGCATTTATTTTTAAAAAGTTCTAATGGTTTTTGAGTGCTAGTGATATAATTTGATAACTTGCCTTTTCTCATGAATTTATGATGTCTCCACTATTATGCCTATAAGACAATTTTATTTTTACTTACAATAAGCCTTTATCTTATTAATATCAATTGTCTTACTTATATTTTTAAGAGAGAGAGAGAGAAGAGAAAGATAATTTTTTAATATTTATTTTTCAGTTTTCAGTGGACACAACATCTTTATTTTTTTATTTTTATGTGGTGCTGAGGATCGAACCCAGTGTCCCGCGCATGCCAGGAGAGTGTGTTACCGCTTGAGCCACATCCCTAGCCCAATTGTCCTACTTATTAATGTGGTTATTCTTGTTTTGGTGCAAAGTGAGTTTGGTATTATGACCTTATATTTTATTTTCATATCTGGTGGGGTTGATTCCCCAATTAATTGACTCTTCTGTCAGTCCAGCCAGATCCTCAAAACACCCCAAAAGCACTCAGTTAGTTGGCCAGTGAACTTTTTCAAGGAAATGTTGAGTTTATAATTTAGAAATGTTATTTATGATGAGTAGTTAACACTTTTGAAGGATTAACTATAATAAATGCATCTCGAACAATTTTGGTATATAACCACATATTATGAATAAGAGATTTAAGATGTGAGCAGAGAGAAAAACTAAAATTAACTTGGACTAAGAAGAAAGTTGTATATACTAGTCTGCTCCTTGAAGTGTGCAAGTTCACAGTTCGGTATTTTCTACCTTCAGCATACTCCAGTCACCACCAGGGACTCCTCTTTTACAGAGCTCAGTGCAACATGATTTCTAAATCTGCTGTACCAGCTACACTGGCTTCAAATCCTGTAGCCTACAGCTGGGAGAGAGGTGAGCCTGCTACTCTCTGCAGCTCGAAAGGCACTTCATGACACACATGAAAAACGTTTGTTTGTTTGTTTGTTTGGTGGTGCTGGGGATTGAACCCAGGGCCTTGTGCAGTCTAGGCCAGGAAACATTTCTTGAAGCCTCACTCAATGTGGCTTTTACTGAGGCTCACTGGCTGTAGGTAAATCATCACTATGTGGTATATGCAACCACAGAGTGATGTAAACAAATCCAGGATATAAACAAATCAGGGTATAAATAGATCCAGATATGAAAAGCACCCAGGACCCCAAGGAGCGATGGATGCAGTGAGAAGAGCGAAGAGAAAATTGAGATGGAAGACAGAGTGCTAGGCAACAGCTACACCTCCAGATTCTCCAAAAGAATTTTTATGGCTTGCTGCATATAGGAAAAGGAAGGTCAATTGGCCCTTTTGCAGTTATAGTTCCTCAAGTGACTTCAGCTTGAAATAATCAATATTACAATTTGATGTACTTTGAGATGGCACATCCTCATCTTCTTCACTAGCATATGCCATGAACATCACACCACACCTGATGCTAGTATGGACAAATGAATGAACTGGCTGGGAAGGGCTCCATTCCCTGTACTGGTACTTACGTGATGTGCATATGGCCAGAGAAGGGTTCCATCTTTCCTCTGCCTGGCACTGGCTCCAAGGACTGCCTTCCAGAATATATCCATCCTCACATTCCAAAGTTATGTTATCTCCATAGTGATATTCTCTCCTTTTCAACTCCTGCTTAAGTCCATTCAACTGTGGAAGGCTGCATTTTACCTCTGAAAGGAGACAAATTGGGGATTGAGATTTTATTGTTGTTAACTGAAATCACTAGAATGAAACAATCATAATCCCAAACTTAACTTGCCCTCAACAAAGACGGGGCATGCTTTCAATCAAGAACTATTGACCCTTCCCCACCCCAAACATCTTGTGATTTAAAGTTCTCTTTTATTTTTCTTAAAATGAAAACACAGTAAAGGAATATGGAATACTTTTGAGTATTAACAACTTTGTGACCAGAGTGTTTGGGAAGGATCAGGAGTTAGGATAACATGATCTCTTGCCAGGGATCCATTTGGGTTACACCATAAGGACATAGCAGCAGCATGTTAACTCTCTAGGTATACACTACATACTGATATTTTTGCTCTGGAAGCATTTGTTTCAGGCCCATTTCTATACACAGAACAAAAGAAGCTAGTAAGTCATGATTCTGAATTTAAAACATCATCTATTTCATTTACTTTATCTCATTTAACTCATCCTTTGATTTGCATTCTCTTTCTGCCATCAATAGGTCCTTCAACTTCAAGCAAAGACTCCTTTGCCATTATGAGAGTCTCAAAATTAGCCCAATGTTCTTCCCATTACAAGTACCAACAAGGTCAAGTGGGATTTCTTCATGTGTAGTCTGTGGTCTTCCTGCATCAGAAATTCTGATGGGTTTGTTAAAAGTAGACTTCTGACCCCTTCTCAAAACAGAATCAGAGGGCATGGGATGGAGCTGGAGAGTCTGCCCTTTGAACCAGGTTCCGGCTGATCTTGCCAGTGCTACCCTGGTCTATGGTACGCTTGAAGGGGACAGTTATTAACGAAAAATGAATTTTATATAAATGGGAAGAAAGCAGCTGCCATGAGCATAGAACACTAGCCTTTCATTGTCAAGAGCAGAACCGTCCCACAGTCTTAACCTGTGTCTTAAAATATTTACTCATTTTCATGCTTTTTAAATAACTGAAGCAAGGGGGAAGAACTCATAGGTGTACGCAGAGCCACAAGGATTCTGTATTTTGTACCATCTACTGTTGCCAGTAAGCACAAGAGAGTCACTTACCATCTCTGTGGTGGGCTTCATTTTCTCTAAAATGAGAAGGCTGAGGGCTGGGAGCATGAGAAGGACTTCTGAGACTCTGAGGACAGGAAGGGCCCTGTGATCCTGCACCCAGGACAGGTCCTAAGGCGGGCTTTTCCCTAACATCTGAAATTGAGGTGTGTCTGAAGTGCCTCCTACGTTATCCCTGCCCTGAGCCTAGTATTTCTAAAAAGAAAGAACAGACAAGAAAGGAAGCAAGTAGCCAAAGCACTTAACTTACAGTTTTGTAAAGTCAAAAGAATAGCATTTAAAAAGAGACAGTATACAGCACAGTGTTTAAAAGTAGGGCCTAAGACGACCATTCATGGACTGCCTAACATGGAGTTAGTGCCTCTCTCTGGCCTTAATTTCCTCCTCTAAAACATGGCAAGTGACCATCCTGCTTCATCGGACTCTTTTGGAGTCCAAATACAAAAACTTTCAGAACCCTGTCTAATTATAGATTATTATTTAAATTTCCTATTTGGAGCTTTATAGAACATTACCAAGAAAGATAAATCAAGTGTTGATGTTTTTATTTTTCATTTTTTATTTTTGGAACAGTTAAAGCCCATTATTTATTTATTTATTTTTGTATTTTGTTTTTTATTTGTTTGCTGTTTTTTTTAAATGAAAGATTGAACCCAGGGGTGCTTTAACTACTGAGCCACATCCCCAGACTTTTTTATATTTTATTTAGAGACAGGGTCTTTCTAAGTTGCTTAGGGCCTCGTTAAATTGTTGAGGCTGGCTTTGAATTTGCCATCCTCCTGCCTCAGCTTCCCAAGCTGCTGGGAACCAGTAGCGTGTACCACCATGCCGGGCTCAGGTGTTGCTTTTGCAGATAAGCTAGAATAAAGGAAATAGTTTGAAGGACTGGCTCCAGGGAGCAAATGAAATAAATCTTTGGTTTTCTTCTAGTATCAGGAGGCTCCATACTCAGTAATTTTAGGAAGTAATTGTTCTCAACTTCTCTGTTCATGTGTGATGGACAAGGTACTGTCTCCCTTTTGGTTCAGTTTTCCTCATGGCAAAGGATGCTTCTAGTCTCTTATCTTCTAAGGGTATTTGTGAGGACTTTATCTGTGACCTCTGAGATCCTCTAGAGCAATTAGTTAAAAATCAGCAAAGCATTTGAAATTGGTGATGCCTATCCAGTTTCTGGAAATTTCACCCACTATCCTCACTTTCTGAGCAGAGCTAAGGATCCTTGGGAAGCCTTCCTTCCTACCTTCTGTTCTGCTTTTCTCCTCCCCTATTGACACTCACATCACCACTCTCCCAACCTTATTAAATGACAATAATCTCAATGATCTTTCAGCCTGATTAACCTCATGCATCTATTTCCCATAACAACCCAGAAAGAATGAGAAATATCAAGAATTGAGATACCTTTGCAATAATGATTAGACTGGCTCCAGGTTCCCTTGTGTGTACAGAAAATGAAGGTAGTTCCCACCAACAAGTAGCCGGGGTTACACGTATAGTTGATCATCATCCCAGGAAGATATGAAGAAGCATGTCCTCCAATGTGATGACCATTCTGGATCTTAGGTGGATGTGGGCATGCTGAGAATGAGTTCCCACACAGAGACAAGAAAAGGCAGCCAGTTAAATGCAGAAGTGTGAACACACCAACATAAATATCTCTGGCTTAGAGGCATTGGAAGACCTGAGACAGGCAGGTCATAAGCCACTCATGGCTAGCTCATCAGAAGGCTGATTCTTTAGAGTAGATGACTGCATTTGAACACAATCCT